TGTAGTCCACGAAAGCTTATGCTCTAATAAATTTGTTAGTCTCTAAGGTGCCACAAGTCCTCCTGTTCTTCTTCTTGAGGTATTCTGCACCAGAGGTTGCGGCAGACTTGGGAGAAGGAGGAGAAGAACACCCATTGAGATGGGTTAGTTCATACCTCTTTTAGAACTTTTGTTCTGAAATGCTCAGAGAGATTAGAGAGACAATAAAAATAAAAATTCAATAATAATGGGGGTTTCAACTATCCCCATATTGACTAGGTACATGGCACTTCAGGATTGGATGCTGAGATAAAGTTTCTTAACACCTTAAATGACTGCTTCTTGGAGCAGCTAGTCCCACAAAAGGAGAGGCAATTCTTGATTTAGTCCTAACTGAAGCACAGGATCTGGTCCAAGAGGTGAATATAGCTGGACCGCTTGGTAATAGTGAAATAATATAATTCAATTTAACATCTCTGTGGTGGGGGAAACACCACAGTAGCACATCATGATAGCATTTAATTTCAGAAAGGGGAACTACACAAAAATGAGGAAGTTAGTTAAACAGAAATTAAAAGGTACAGCGCCAAAAGTGAAATCCCTGTAAGTTGCATGGAAACTTTTTAAAGACACCATAATAGAGGCTCAACTTAAATGTAACCCCCAAATTAAAAAACATAGAGAATCAAAAAAGTGCCACCATGGCTAACCAACAAAGTAAATGAAGCAGCGAGAGGCAAAAAGGCATCCTTTAAAAAGTGGAAGGTAAATCCTGGTGAGGAAAACAGAAAGGAGCATAAACTCTGCCAAGTGAAATGTAAAAATACAATTAGGAAGGCCAACAAAGAATTTGAAGAATGGCTAGCCAAAGACTCAAAAAATAATGGCAAAATTTGTTTTAAGTACATCAGAAGCAGGAAGCCTGCTAAACCAGTGGGGCCACTGGACAATCAAGAGCCTAAAGGAGCACTCAAGGATGACAAGGCCATTGCGGAGAAAATAAATGAATTCTTTGCATTGGTCTTCACGACTGAGGATGTGAGGGAGATTCCCAAACCAGAGTCATTCTTTTTAGGTGACAAATCTGAGGAACTGTTCCAGATTGAGGTGTCATTAGAGGAGGTTTTGGAATAAATTGATAAACTAAACAGTAATAAGTCACCTGGACTAGATGGTATCACCCAAGAATTCTGAAGGAACTCAAATGTGAAATTGCAGAACTGTGGTTTGTAAACTATCATTTAAAACAGCTTCTGTACCAAATGCCTGGAGGATAGCTAATGTGACGCCATCACCTCATCAGAGGTGATCCTGGCAATTACAGGTCAGTAAGTCTGACTTCATCAAACTGGTTGAAACTATAGTAAAGAACAAAATTGTCAGATACATAAATTAACATAATTTGTTGGGGGAAGAGTCAACAGGGTTTTTGTAAAGGGAAATCATGCCTCACCAATCTACTAGAATTCTTTGAGGGGGTCAACAAGCATGTGGACAAGGGGGATCTAGTGGATATAGTGTACTTAGATTTTCAGAAAGCCTTTAAGTTCCCTCACCAACGGCTCTTAAGCAAAGTAAACTGTCATGGGTAAGGCTACATTTTAGTCTTGGGTATTTTTAGTAAAAATCATGGACAGGTCACGGACAGTAAAAAAAATTCATGGCCCTGACCTGTCCAATACTTTTACTATATACCCCTGACTAAAACTTGGGGGGGGCCTCAGGGGACACTACGGGTACTTGGATGGCACCACCTGGGGGGATGCCGCAGGTGCTGGGGGGTTGTGGCCTGGGAGGGCACCATGAGTGCTGGGGGGATCACGGCCAGGAGGGGCACCACAGGTATTCAGGGGGGCACCACGGGTGCTGAGGGGGGCACCGCAGGTGCTTGGGGCAGGCAGCCTAGGTACTCAGGGGGGCCATGGGTGCTCAGGGGGGTTGGTGGGGCTGGGGCAGGTTCCCTACCCACCTCCTGGGAAGCGGCGACCTCCAGCTCCTAGCTCCACATGCTGCCTCTAAATACAGCTTTTACGAACAGGGACTGCTAACAGGGAGTTTTGCAAGGGAGTTTGGAAGGGGGCAAGGTTCACTTGCTGGTTCTATCCGTTTCCCTTTATTCCCCTTAAAACCTATAAACCAAACTACATTCCAAACTTCTTGCTTAAACAACCCTTTCACTAACGAGGAGACAATGCAGGCAGAAGCCCAGCTGCAGAGTGGGGGCTATCCAATTTATTGCACTGAGTGCAGCATGTGTGATTACCTGCCCTGTGGGTGGGTGGCGTATGTGAGCATTCAGTGCAAGGAGCTCCTGGCCCTCAGAGACCACGTTCGGACTTTGGAGGCCAGGGTAGCGGAACTGGAGGAGCTAAGGGAGGCAGAGAGGTATGTTGATGAGGCTTTCCGGGACACTGTAGAATTGTCCCACCTCTGGTCAGACAGCCCCTGCGCTGTTGAGGAGGATGAAAGGCCCAGGGAAGCAGAGCAGTCAACG